TGTCCCCCCCCCCCCCCCCCCCCCTTAGACTGGCAGTAGTGAGAGGCAATTCTTTGAAGTCAGGCCTAAAGTGGTTCTTTTGTTTTGTTTTGTGATAACCTTAACAAAATAAGGGAGTGGTGTGCAGGAAAGGCTTGCAGAAAGTGCTGAACAGCAGGACTTAAGAGAGCACTGTTTGTTGTTTTTTCACTCTGGAATAGTTTAGGCCAAGCAAAAGTCTTTGTCTGCTGAGTTTACTTGCGTCTTCAGCTGGTAGTTTATAGGCTTCAATGAAATGTGAAGACTCTCTGAAATGTGCTAGAGAAGTCCTCTGGACCTTTGGAACTGAAGAAAAGTGCACTGCAGCCCCATGAAGTTTTTTTGTGTCAATTGGGTTTTATGGGGGAAGGTACCCTCCCTTTCTCTTACTTTTTTTTAGGCTTACAGCCTTTTTTACTGCTTCAGAAGCCTGGCTGACCATCTTTTATGGCACAAAAAATAATGAAGCACTCAAGAAAGAGAATATGAATTATCGAACTTTGTAGTGTGTTGAGTCTTTAAGGAGAACATTGCTTTCTTTACCCTTTATGCATAGCAGTAAAGACAGGAATGCTTTCTATTCTGGCTCTTCATAACATCACAGGGACTGAATAAAAATAGCAGTCATGTCTTAAAGGCAAGAGCTGCATTTCCAAAAGGCTTAAAAAAAAAAAAAGTTAAAAAAATACCACCACAAAAAAAAGTAGTAGAGACCCTCTAGTATGACATGAGAAAGACCACCTTAATAAAGTGGTTTACCAAAGGATGGATACTAGTGAACTTTTGGGTTTGAACAGGAGTACTTACTTAAAAGTTTTACTGCACTTAATTATCATATATCAAAGAAATTAGGTTACTTTTTCTTTCATTTATCCTAACATTTGATTTTTAGAAATTTCTTTTTTATACTTCCTCTGTTCTTTTCTTTTATCTCTTACTGTGTTGGCCTAGAATAACAGCCTGAATGCTTCTCCCAGTTCCTGGTGCAGACGATTTTGTTTGAGGGGAAGAGTAGGTATTTTCTTGGTGCCTTTTGTTTTCTTGTGATTAACAGGATTGCTATAACTTGTAAGCCATGGCGGTGTCCACATGAAATGTTTAATCTGGAGTTGATTTGATGAAAATCTTTATAGCATGTTTATACTTAAATATTGAGGATGCTAATTGGAAGCGGCAAATTGATAAAGAGCTTCATTTTAGATTAGCTGGATGAATCCATACTACTATGAAATTTGGTGTGAATTTGAATAGGCTTGGATTAGAGATGCATTTGGTCACAGAGGTTTTAAAGAAAAACCTTCTCAAACACATCTATTGTGTGGCTTTTTTCCTCTGGAAACTATTTTGTTGAATGTAACTGTACAAACCCCTTAGATTAAGAACATGAAGTACTATTTTTATTTCACATCAAACTAAAGGTGACAGACTACAGCACTGTGTATGGTATTATTTATGTTGTAAGAACAGCTCTAAAGAACACTGGTTTTGGTTCATTTGCTGTAGGATTCATAAACAAAAAAAGAAAATATTCACATCAGGATTGAAGTTCAAAAATACTTTTTCTCAAATAAGAATTACATATACATGAATATGAGAACAATTTTAAATCATTTAGTTATCCTTTGCCAGCTTACTTGAAAGCAGTTACATTCTCAGGCTGACGTACAAAAAGCATCACTTGTTATTGATTCAGGTTCTTAAAGATTTTTATTGTCCTCAAAATGGACAAAAGTAGTAACTTGCAAGAGTTCTTCACTGGCAGTTTATGCAGATTTTAATCCACTCAGGTGTAGAGTAGAGGTACTCTGCAAGAATTCTGTATATAGAGTCAAGCCTGGGAGAATGCAATTAACTGGCTAAAATGATGTATTTCATAAAAGAATCTTTACTAAGTATAATCTGAGTTAATTTGAAAACTGTACGGTGGAATGTAGGCTTGTTCTGTCCTCCTATGAAATCTTACATTTATTATTCTACTAATTAGTTAGAAAGTTTGAATTGACTTCTATTAATTTTGACAGTATTAACATTTCTGTAGTGCATGTTCTTGCTTTGTACTTATACAGTACCTGGATATTTTACCTTTCCTGTATGTACTTTGGGATAATACATAGCAGGTGAGAAAAGTTGTAAAGTCATGTTTGTCAGAGCTTAGTTTATCTTGTGCATGGCTGTAGAATTGTGTTGTAAAGTGCCTGTGGCATGAGGTGAGAGTTGTCGCACTGTACCAACTAGTGAACTGTGTAAGAACATGCTTTTCAAATATCATCAAACTGTAATCTGTGGGGAAATGTTTTGGAAATTACGTGTTTTTGTATTAGGGTGCTAGACGTAGCCTTTTTCCTTTTTTTTGGGTTGAAATAGTATGTACAGGTATTTCAAAATGTATATTGACTTGGAATATTTTAGGGGCTTTTAAAAGTTTTCCTATTTGTAACCCAAAACCTTTTTGAGAACTTCTCCCCTAGAGACACAGGACCATCACCGGAGCTATGTTCAGATCTGAAATACAAGCATGTACAAAAATCCAGTGGTGGGAATGCAGACAGTATTTCTGGTGTTTCTTCTTGTCCTGTGTCTCTTTTTCCCTCTTCCCTTTCTTTTTTTGGTAGTAATACCTTTTAATATGCTGTGAATTTTTTTAATGTTTTGTAAGAATTCACAAATTGCATGTTTTTTTGCATATAAGATTCTTGTAACTAGAAAATAACCAAGCTGTCATCTTTTGGAGGGTGTCGGTCAATACCATATCACACTTGACCAAAACAGTCAGGAATGATTTCAGCACTATTTCTGCTTGTTCCTTTGTATGCTTTTATGTATTTATTAACTTCATTATCTATCTCTTCTGTTTTAGGATGCAATTCGAAGCCATAGTGAATCAGGTATGGTTTCAAAAGGTAAAATAATTTATATTATTATTTTGTGTTTATTTTCTGGTTCATAAATTGTTTTTCTTCTATTTTTATATTTAAGCCTCACCCTCTGCTCTGTCTGGAAGTCCTAACAATATGAGTCCAACTGGCTGGTCTCAGCCCAAAACCCCAGTCCCAGCCCAAAGAGAGCGAGCCCCTGGATCTAATACACAAGAAAAAAACAAAATTGTAAGTATGGTAATACTTGATTATTTTTTAATATGTTAAAATAGGCTGGGAGTAGTGGTGTGTTGGGATAAATTTCTGTACTTTAAAGGCAAGAAAAGCTGATGGTAATCTCGAATTGCTCTGCAGTGTGTGTATATAATGGCGATATAATTTTAACTAACTTGGGAAGGATGGCACTGTTGCCTTGCATTATAAATACCCAGAACAAAGTGGTCTTGATTGAAAATTCATTTCAGACAGTATTGTGAAATTATTTTTCAGTACAGATTCAAGGATTACCTTTCTAAATTTTTAGGGGCTGCATCTTTTTTAATATGTTTAATATGTTTAAAGTTAGCCTTATTATCACTATTTGAACTGTATAGCCATAGCTTCCATAGAAAGGGGATATTGATAATGCCACTATTTTCATAGTAAAGTTTCTCAAAACACCTCAGGGGAAAAATAGATTTAACAAAATGCAAGTTTTGCCTCAAAGGCTTGATGTAAACTTGGGGGGGGGGGAGGAGAAAGAAAAGTTAGAATAATAATGAATAATATCTCAAATTTTTTGAAGGCTTATAAGGTATAAAAATGAAAGTACAGTTGCTTAGTGGCACACACAGTTGTTAATCGCTTAGACATTTGAGAATTCTGCTTTTGTCTCTTTCATCTATTCCTTTTAAATATGTAAATGAGTTCCTGAATTTTAGTATTGCAGTTTTGAAAAAGTCAGTAAGTTTTGTAAATATTTCAGATGTCTTTAAATAGTTGATTGTAAAATATTTGTTCCTCTCAAGATCTAAGATCAGGGTTTAAGTTTCTAGTGCAGAACTTAATGATAGCTTCTTAAGCAGTTCAAGCCATCCAAGATAATGTTTTGTCTTTTTTGGGGGGGGATGGGGTGGGAGTGTAAACAAACCCACCACCCCTCACAAATTGAGACAAAGAACAAAAGTCCAAACTGCAGGACAAAACCCTTGAGGTTTCAGTGCATCTTAAACTTTTATGAAGGAATTTATTTCATTTTTGGTGTGTATATATATTTGATGAAATAATTGGACTAAAAGCCATGTCAATTTTTGTTCCAGAGGCCTCGTGGACAGAGAGATTCCAGTTATTACTGGGAAATAGAAGCAAGTGAAGTCATGCTTTCTACCAGAATAGGGTCAGGTTCTTTTGGAACAGTTTACAAAGGCAAATGGCATGGTAAGTTCTTGACAAGTGTTACAATCTTCTCAAAATGTTGATATGGTAGGACAGCAATCCAGAAAAAGGTAAAATTGTTTTAATGGTGCTGTGTGCTTATCTACCACCAAAGGTACTAGGTGAGAAATATTAATTTCCTAATATTAGCAGTGGGGAGATTGAGCAAAGAACAGACATCAAAATCTGAATCTCACAACTGCCGAACAGACATCAAAATCTGAATCTCACAGCTGCCATCTACGTGTTCACTATATTGGAGCCAACATTGTTTTCTTTATTACCATGTTCTACAACAGCTTGTTTTCTGAAAAGATTTCCCTTTCCATTAGCAGGGCTGAATCAGCAGAATTGGCTGGGAAATTTCACAGCCCGATGTTAAATTATGTTTACCTTTTCTTTTTAATACCTCTGTGGTTTAATTAGCAAACTTATATTCAAGGTGGCAGGGAAAGGAAATAAGGATAAATTGTCTTTACTGTGGAGTTTTTCTAAGGAAAAAATGGTTGATGTGAGAGTTTATGATATAAAGTTAGCTGGAATACTTTGAAAAGAGGCACACTGCAGAACTACAGAATTAGTTTCCAAATTCAGGGCTTGTGATTTAAAAAGAAACACACACAAACCCCTCCAGGCCCTAACTTAAATAGCATTATTGTCATAAAATAAGCTGACAAAAAAAATTTGGAAACTTATCTTCCACCCTCTATTTTTAAAGAATAAATACTTGTGTGTCTTAAAGCCCAAATATTGTCAGCATCAATGGAAGAACTATTCTTATGCTAAAAGTAATATTCATGAACGGTTAAATTGATTTTCATTATATAAGTGAAATGGAACAGAGAAATCAAGAGAAAAAATAGGTTAAGTAAGATTTCACTAAACAAAGTAATAAATGAGAACTTCTTGTTAATCTTTATTTTAATAAAACATTAGCAACTCTTCATGTATCAAACTTTGGTATGTTAGACAGGAAATGCATGGAGCTACATATTTAGAAAGAACTCCGTTGTGTGCACAGGATGGCTGTATAGCTGTCTCCTAACTTGGTATCGATAAGATTCAGTTCCTCATTTGTGGTTAACTGTTTATAGTTTTCTTGATTTCTCAGGAAAATCGAAGTTAAATTACTAATTTTTTTTTTCTTTTTGTAACCATCATTTGTGGTGTGGTCTTAAAAGATTTAAAGGTTTATATTTATTGCAAGTCTTTTCCTGTTTGGAATTGAAGAAACTGGGAGTTCCCTGCGCAAACTAGTGAAACTGCAGACTTTTTTGTAGTAACCTATTCTAACAGTACAAATGCAGCAATAAAAATGTTTTGGTGAAGCTAAATGAAATTAATTGAAGTGGGAAGATTGCTGCAAACTTAAGTAAAAATTCTAGATTAAGTTAGAGGTGTTGGGTTTCCTAACATGCCCAACCGTGAAAGGCTGTTTGCAATGAACCTTTGGAGAGTACCTGTGGAAGATCGTGTACAACTATATGCAAAAGGTATTAGGTTTCCAATAAGCTTCCCTGATTTAGTCTTCCAAAATAAAAATGAAGTGTCAAGGAGAGTCTTGCTCTGAGCAGCGTGTGTCTCGTTGAACAGGTATCTTGCACTTCCATATTTTTCCAGATTGTTCTGATGGTTAAGTACTAATTTTCATATTTGCACCACTTCTGTTACAGACCCCATTTGGATCCTGTAGTGTCCTGTAGCATGCTTCTAAATTTAAAAGGCGGAAAGAGAACCAAGGCAGTTTAAATGGGTTGGAAGACTACCTATCATAAACACTCACATTTCCCCTTTGACCCTGGTAATCAGTTCTAGGGTTTTGGTGGTTGGGGGGTGGCGGAAGCTGATTTGTCTTCAGATTGCTGCTAAACAAAACAAGTGCTATTGTGTATTTGTTTCTGTAGAGAAAACTGCTTGGGAAATGCCATCAAGCCTAAAAAAAGTGTGGCACCTGATTCAGTAAGAACAGTGTAAGGTTAAAAACATCTCTTCATCTGTGGAGCAAGGATCATAATGGAGAATATATTGAAAAATAATATGAAAACATTTGGCCTGTAATCAGTGGATGCTGCATCCTTGCCTTGTCTGGGCATAGCTCATACCAATATACTTCAACTACTGGTAGACCATCTATTGGTCTTGCACTGTACATCAAGAGAAGTTGCAGTAGGAACTGGCTACTTCAAAGCCTTTGATTTTGATAGTTACATGAAAGTGTAGTCTTTCTATCAGTTATATTCTCCTGTTCTGGTCTGTAAGCAGAGAGATCTGTAAGTTCTAAAACATTATGCATACTGCAAATGCGCGATGGTTCTCTTTTATGAAGATGCTAGAGGATGAAATAGGAAGTCTATTGCATTTACTGAAGTTAAAGGAAGAAGATATAAATGTATAATAATGTGTTCAGTATTTGTGCATCTTTGTGACTTCAAATTATACAGCAAATTAAGCAACTGGTAACTACAGTGGAAGATACTGCAGTTCACTCAGGGTACTCTGAAACTTTCAAGTACCAGTTTGCATATCCTTCTCATATTTTGTTGGCAACATTTTTTAATTGAGCGGTTAGTATTCCTAATGTATTCAGTTATCATTATGTTCTAGAGATATGCTAATATATTTTTTTACATGTATCTTTGAAAAGAGACCATATTAAGAAGAAGAAAACTAGTGATTGTGGTAGCAGAGAAATCTGTCACTGTAGGGATTTTTTTAATGTAGGTGATGATGCTGTAATGCTAAGTGGCAGCAGCCTTTGAACTATGAGATACGCCTATGTTGGAGTATATCACCTCTCAAATCTTTTTACTGCATGTGGACCAAGATTGAAGTTTTGTTTTCCTAAGCTGCTTTCATCTTCCTGTGTCAAGGAAAGTTTATCCCCCTCTTGAATTCTAAAATGCTGTCCATCCATAGTTAAAATGAATGTGGTGCTTGCTTCTTTCACTCAGGAATTGGTGGGTCTTGCTGTTAGTGCTTTTACTTTGTTAAAACAGTCGGCTTCATTCCACTATTACCTTTTTTGAATCAGTTCAATTCTGCTGTTGTCTGTATGTACACTGTGTAAAGGTTTTTACAACTTCATTCTTTGGAAACAGTCTCTAAACAGATAGCACTGGATCATCATATATTCCCCTCTGTATTACTCTTTAACAGATACTGAAATTTAAAGCAAGCACTGACACTGAAAGCAATTCAAATGAAGCTTTTAACTACAATTTTATAATGTATCAGCTTAAAGAACAGTAAGATATTCTGCTTTCCGTAGTCCCCAAATTTGTTATTGAAATACTAAAATCAGTTATATCGTTCATGATTTTTCTGCTGTTCCTGGATAGAAGATTTATCCCTCCCATTCCTGAAATTTAGCAGTATTTAAATTTATAAAGTTTGTTTTTTTAAATAAAGTTTATATTAAAAAGGGATGGGTGTGTATATACATGTATATAGTTTATATATACATATAAACTTTAATATATAAACAATTATATAAAAATACAAAGGTGTATATATATGCGCGCTAAAGCCGGATAGAAAAAGGAAAAGTGATGAAACTTTGGATACTGTTTGGAAGCCGAGAGACTCTGATGTGACTGTGCTTGAAATAATGTGCTGAGAACGCACCTACACTAGAATACCTTCCTTTTCAACAACTATTTGAGATTTTAGTAGCTTCATATTGTGCAAAAAGCATATGTGTTGTTCTTGCCAGCCATAGCTGTTAAAAAATAGAAGGGAAGCATGTGAACAATTAATGACTTTTTCCATTAGACGGAAATTCGTATAAATTAATTGCTTGATACTATGGAAATTGTCTGCTGGAAAATCTTGACCTATGTACAAATTAGTAGAGGTGTACTGTGCACAGATTAGGAATCTAAATATACTGTATATTAATGTTGGTTTTTGGGGGGGGGAAGAAAAAAGCTGTATTTTTAGTAAGTTTTATGGTAAATGTATTTTCAGGGGATGTAGCAGTGAAGATACTAAAGGTTGTAGATCCAACCCCAGAACAGTTCCAGGCTTTCAGAAATGAAGTGGCTGTATTAAGGTGAGTTGGTAGTTTCATTGCTAAATTCTGTTATTCCAAGGCACTGTATTTGACTACTACCCCTCCTTTAAGCCATCTTGCCCAATATTCTCTGTTTGATAGACAAAAAAAAAGCAGATCTCCAGAGAAGAAGAATAAAAAAGAGAGCATAGAGTGATACTTCTGAATATTGTTGTGGACCTGTGAGACAGCAATCATAATTCAGAGTATTTCAGTGGTTCTTCACTGTTTCTGAAAGTTGTCTTTTCAGATAAATAATACTAACATCCATAACTGGTCAGGTCACATTTGGCATGCAGTAAAAGATGAGGATTAATAAATTCTGCCATAATTCTCATCATTGGATAGAGTACTTGAACTGTGCCTTTTAAAATTGCAGCATAATTCCTTTTTTTTTTTAATGTATACTCTGATCTACGTAACTGTTTTCTGCTTTCAAATACTGTTTTTGTAGCATCCAGTTAAAAATCTGTAATTTTAATCCTGAAACTGAACCAGTTAGAGTACACAAGAACTATCTTCTCATCTGTTAATGCCTTCACAGTTTATAATGACCCTTTAGTTTCCTGTTGGGATTCAGTCTTCTATCTAAAGTTGTCACTTTTTCACAGCTTTCAAGGTAATTTCTGTTACCCCAGTAACTTTTTCTAATACCACTTGCAAGCATGAACGTTGGTTACCAATTTCAAAACCCTTGAATTTCCATTACATCTTTTTCTTAAAGGTTGATTTAAAATAATTTCCTTGGAACTAAAAGGAAGTATTTTAACTAAAAAGCAGAAAATCAGCTGATTTTATTTAAAAATTATATATTCACAACTGTGGCGTATTTTTATTATTTTTAAAACCAAACTTTACACACACATCCACCTAGCAAAAAGTTTGCAGGAAAATTGTGGTTTTGGACTCAAAAGCTGAAATATGTTCCTTCAGCCAGGAATGCATTTTTAAAAGAATTTGAAAACATTTTTCATAAAGATACTAATTTCTTTTTCTGCTATTTTCTATTAGGAAGACTCGGCATGTTAATATTTTGCTCTTTATGGGCTACATGACTAAAGATAATCTGGCCATTGTTACACAATGGTGTGAAGGAAGCAGTCTGTATAAACACCTGCATGTTCAAGAGACCAAGTTCCAAATGTTCCAGCTCATTGATATTGCTCGGCAGACAGCACAGGGAATGGAGTGAGTAGGATAAACAATGCTGGCTATTTTTGTTCTTGGAATGGTGTTTCCCTTCTCTTCCCCAAACCCTAATATGTGGAGTTACTGCACTAAAATAGTAACGGATCAAAATGGTATACCAAGTAAAGATTTTGTGCAGCCTTAATTCAGCACTGTTGTATGCATTCTTAATTTCATTTAGTATTTTTTTTTTCCCATGGATCATGGCCTTAGTTCATGTTAGACCACTAGTCACTTGACAGTCAGCTCTTCTGTATTTCATCTTCATTTTTAGCTTGAGGTCTTACTGTAATGCACTAGATGATATCCTATTCTAAACATAGAATTAACTTTTTTTTTTCCTTCTTCCCTGTGTTACTTACTATAACGTTGCAGTGTTTGGCAAACACTAATTCATATGCATTGTACTTCTGTGGGATGAGGGAATGGCTGTTCCTAGTCTAAGGCTATGGGACTCACACTTGGATATATTTTGGAAGCATTCTCCAGATGTCTGAGTTGATATAGTAACCACCTCACTACTCTTTCAGACCATGTTATAATGTTCGTAGCATAGAAGATGCTGACATGGGCTGACGCTGTCAGTGCTCATCCATTTTGTAGATCAGGACCCAGGTTTCCAGTCAGACACCCAGAAAACTAGGGACATGTATTGTGACTGCAAATTAAAGCAGTTTGTAAAAAGTAAACCTTAGCATAGCATACAAATTTCATGTGTGTGAGGACAGCACCCAGTTTTCTAGGGTATTATACAGTTACATAACAGTGATGCCACTCTTCCTCTTCCTGAGGTTTATTTACTGCATCGCTTCCACTTTCTGTAATGCATAAGGCAGTAGTCATCAGTGAGTGCTTGCTACGTTTCTTTTCCCAAAGTAGCCGCATTCTGTAAATTGACTAAAGCAAGAGGTCTGTGAAATGGTTCAGTATGTAATAAACTGTCACAGTGTCTATCAGTAAATTGAAAGGCTAAGTTTATGTGAACAACCTTCATAATGGCACTCTTCTGCTTTTTCTTTTACAGCTATTTACATGCAAAGAATATTATCCACAGAGACATGAAATCCAATAGTATCCTTTCCTAACTTAATCATATTTCCTTTAATGTGAGAGTGATTTGTTGTTAATATGGAGCTTTTGGGGGGGGGGGTGAAACAGCTATTTCAAAAGTGTATAACAACTAATGAGTAATTCTGATTGGTGAGTAAGAAGTTACTTTTTAGCAAGGACTTTCATAGAACATTTGTGCTTGCTTACCAAACTGTTGTGATAAAGATGAAAAAAGATGTGCAATAGTTGTGTTCTAGAAGTGTCTTATTTTACTTAAATGGTGTTTATGCAATTCTCTTTTACTCAAATGCTGTATTGGAGAGAAGTTGTGCTCTTTGCTTGATGGGAGATACGTGTGTGTGTGCATGCTGATGTATGTGTGCACATGTGGGGTTTGTTACTGTTCCCCATATATTTTTAATAAATCTAAAACACCTTCACATGACTGGCAGAAATGAAGCCAAAAATCTTACTTTAAACTCAAGAAAAGGCAACCTTTTCCCACTATATTTCTTGAAAAAATATAAATCTAGTAGTGCATTTGGAATAAAAATGTTGTGAGCTGACGTCTTTCACCTTTGAAAATGCCTGCTTTCGAAATTGCCAAGAAGAGCATCCATTCAGCTGGCAGCATCCGTTGTAACTTCCTTTCATAAAATATGAACAGAATGCTTTGCAAATGTCATCATAAAAAAATATGCCAAATTAAGTAGTTCCATAATGTAAGGGGATTCCCATTTTCAGTTAAGTTATAAAAATAATCATTTTGGTATATAGGAGGTCAGGAGTTTGTGATTCCTGATAATGATGACCATTTTTGTGAAATAAATTAACTCTTCTGACATGGAAATGAGAACTAGGAGTCTGTCATGTTTATATTTCTGAATGATCTTTTTGAACTTAAAACATTCTTAAATTAAATTGTAAAATGGTATCTTCTTAAAATAACCCCAACAAAGAAAGTGCTAGCTGACAGTTTTAACAGACAAATCTATTAAGTAGATAGATTACAAATAGTATGGACATGTGTATTTCCAGTTGAAATGGTTAAATCATAGCTAAATCTCTGGAGGTCTGCCAGAGAGCTTTATGTAAATAGATTCTGATTTTTGTTTCTACTTGTAATTGTTTTTTCTTAGTTCTCTGTTTTGAGTTGTGTTGACTTCTATGTTGTTTCCCTATGTGTCTATTGACATCAGTTATTTAAGTACCTGCAGTCACTGACATTAATTAACACAGTTGATTTCTGTCCTAACTCACCATAAAGATAAATGTACAAATAATGCTGAAACATCTGGTCTCATTTAGTCTTAAATGTTAACTTGCTAAAATGAATGCCATAAAATTACTTTTCCTCTGTTTAACATACAACTTGTAGCAGGTTTAAAAAAAAACAACAAAAAACCAGCAATATTCTTGGATAGTTGGCTTGCATTTGTGATAACCTGATCAGACACTTTGTAATCATGTCAGAAAATTCAGAATTGTTTACTCAAGTTTTCTACAGAGTTTCTTTAACAAATGTTTAGATATATTTCTTCACGAAGGCCTCACAGTGAAAATAGGAGACTTTGGTCTGGCAACTGTAAAATCCAGGTGGAGTGGATCTCAACAGGTGGAACAGCCCACTGGCTCAATCTTGTGGATGGTAAGCAAAACATTTCACTGCTTTTAAATAGCTCGCTTTCATTCGGTTAATACATGTTTTGTCAGTTGAACACTATTTTAAAGCTTTAAATCTAAATGAATCAACATATGTTGTTAGTACTGTGTAGACTTTTACTCCAGTTGTAGGACAAGTTAAAATTGAAGAATGAAGTGCTGGAGTGCTTAATTGTCCAGAGTAGACACCATTCACCTAAGGATGCTCCTTCTAATTTTCAGAGTTATTTTAAATATTTAGGGCAGAGACAGGGCTGTCAGTGGAACTGTGAGGAGCAGTTCCAAGGGAAGAGGAGAGCCTTTCTCCTGCTGTAATCTTGTCTTTCCACACCACGGGCTTGTCTCACTGGAGAGCAGGCTTTAATCTTCTTAATGGTGGCTTTGTGGGATCAGCGAGACCCTGTCTTTCTTTACGTTCTTCAGTGTGGCCTCTTCTTCCCCTGCTCCCTGCTTGGGACTTGGCAACATTCCTTCTCACACACTTGCTGATCGCACATTTGGCAGCTTTGGCAGGGCACTGGGGAAAGGATAGGGAATGCTTCCAGAGTTATGGGAATGAGCGCAATTCATCGTTGGTACCGTGGTAAGATGTTGCATATATGCCAAGATACTGCTGTTAGGTCCACTACTGCTCCTTACCCTGCACCAGGTAGTTGCAATAGGTTTTGAGGCAGCTCAGAACCGTAGCAGATGAACATCAGTTTAGGTACAGAAGTTCTCAAGTTCTGCTGGAAAGTTTATGGAGTTTCTTTTGGCAGTGGTACTGCAAAGTCCTTGTCTGAGAGGACAGTCTCAACAATTGCCTTTGTGTTTAACTTCTGTCAGAACTTAAAAGGCGTTCCACAATTTTCCTTCCAAAAATCAGCTGGAGAAAATCTATTCAGTAACTTTTCAAATGCGGGACTTCAATAAAGTAAATGGAAAAAGTGGAACAGTGCCTGTTACCAGGTTAAAAAGGCATCATTGAAATTATGCAAGAATGTCTTATTTAGCACTCAGAATATTTTGTTGAAGTTTTACTTGACCCATTTTTGTTAATACTATCCAGTTTACTTAAATTCAGCATGTAGACTGATCAGCAGTATTTTCTGGCTCCCAGGATAGAGCATGCAGCAACATTTGTGCATGTACTTCGGGGAGGTGTAACCAAATAAAAATGACTTGCTGAATGCTACATATTAGTATGTTTTAAATTTTTCAATATTTAGCACTGAATGAGCTGCAGGTGTTACTTAAAACAGGTGTTCCTTTTGAAAAATTATTCTTTATTACTAGGCTTGCAGCCTTCATTGTTACTGAAGTATTTGTATTTTGAGAAAAGTCAGGAAGTATTCATTAAGAATATCAGGATGCTTGGCTAAGATTTGTTTGTGACCTATAAAATACACAAATCACCTGAAAGAAACTTACAAAAGCAGAAACAGTTTTTTTCTTTAAAAAAAACAAAACAAAAAAACCCCCACAAAAACCAAACCAAAAAGTCAAAGCTTTTTACAGCTTTCCATAAAGGTATTCAAAACTAATGGTATGCCTAGATAGATGAAGCAGATCTTAGGAAAAAAACCCCCTGCATTTTTGCCCTTTGCAGTTTTTTAAAAATTTGAATCATTTATAGACTGTCTTTGCTGAGTTGTCCTTATATAGAAGGGGAGGTTGATACTGTTTCCTTGAAAGTTGATACAGTCTCTTACTGGGTTTTTGTTGTACTGTTGTACTTTGACTAGTACTTTGCTTAGTAATTCTGAGGGACTTCTTTTGGGGGAAGAAAAAAATCTTAGTTAACAGGAAAGACATTTTGATGGCTTATATCTTCTTTTATTAAATCTTTCAATGTTGTTTCTTTTAAGTTCTTTAGCTTCATAATTTTGCTTTCTTTTGCATAGATGCGAGAATGCTCTTGCATTTCTTCCCTGATCTTTAATATATGCTATTTTGTATTTGGCTTTCACATTTCATGTAAATGTTTTGGTATCAATTTTACAAGAGATTAAGTCTATTAGAATTTTACATTTTTTCCCTTTAACATCAATACCTGCTTAAGAACTGATGGTGAGAGACTCAGACTCAGTTGTAAGAAAGATGTAACAAGTCAATAAATCTTGCAAATTGGGATACTAACTTTTCTAATGGTAAAATACTCATTGAATTAAAGTGTTGTTTTTTTGTTTACTCTCAATAGTGCTGATTTTTTTTTTAAAATAAGATGAAGAGTAGCACTGCCTGAACTTTTCCAGAGCCTTAGGTAAAACTCATCAAAGGTTTTGAGGTATCCTTTGTTCACTAACTCTTGATTGAGCTCACTCTCTCTGCTTTCCAAATATTTTCCCCTTCTCTTGTCTTTTCTGTTTCTAAGTTCTATTAATATTGCTCATAATTTATTTCTTTTTTCCTCCTCCTACAGGCACCAGAAGTGATACGGATGCAGGATAGTAACCCGTTTAGTTTTCAGTCAGATGTCTACTCCTATGGAATAGTATTATATGAACTAATGACAGGAGAGTTGCCATACTCCCACATAAACAACCGAGATCAGGTAAGAAACATTCTTTGAATACTGCATTTTATTTCTGGGTATAGTACATTTTGTTGTCCTCAAGAAATGCAAGATAAAGACAAATGAAAACTTAAGAATTGGAATGTTGTTTACAACATGATTTGTTTCAGCAGCAAATCTGTGTAATTCAATGTTTACTTAAATATTGACAGTGACAGTTACTCAAAGGAAAAAAATTCTTTTTTTATAAACATTTTAAGTGCCCTGTTGATTTATTCATGGGTTAAAGCTTTTGCTACATCAGTAAAATCCTGGTTTATATATATATGCAGTTATGTGAAATTTCCCTTCTGATGTTAAATACGCTGTTAAATCAGCAAGATTGGATTCTGTGCTTTTTACTAAGTGAAAAAAAAAATAGTGGCTATTGTTAAACCTTTTAGTATTGAATGTTAGTTTGTGTGATTTAATCTTTTACTAAGTTGTATTCTTACCAGTCAGTTAGCCAATAATATAAAGAAGCTCATTAAGGACAGAAACCAACTGTTCTCTTTATATGAATGCTTTTTCTAGCTTAGCAAATGTAGAGCTAACTCATTCTGTAGAGCGTGAACTTAAGACTGTTAGATCTTTTTGATCGCTGTTTTGCTGATCTCAGTTGTGGTTTGTGTTTGTTGTTGTTTTTTTAAATTAAGATCTTATAATGAGAAGTGTGTGTGTATGGGGACAAACTACTAGATTTTAGCCCCTGTTATGTTATATAGTCTGAATTGCAAGCAGAAGAGGCCAGTTCTGTTAAGCTAAGGAATTTTTTTCTTATTTTTAAGGTTGTCTACAAATTGGGATATTGGCATGTGTTTTAATTCATAATATTTAAATCATATGCAAGCTTTAATAATCATTACTGTTGCAAAACATGTGACACTTGACCCTCAAGTAAGTTTTCTGGGGAGGGATAGAGTATTTCCTGGAGAACACCACTGCGACCTTATTTTAGCAACATTATATTGACTTTTTTTTTTTTCTGAGACAACATTAGCTGAAAAAGAAACAATAGCACAGTTAGTTTTGTTTACCCCTGCTCCCTGCCAATAAAACCCTCAAAAAAACTCCTGTCAACCAACCAAACCTACCACTATTTTACCAGATAATAATCTTATCAATACTATATAGTCAACTATTAAGGTTACTGGAAGTCTGAAAATCCTAAATGATGACCATATTAACTTGGACTAAAACAGAAAATGTATTTTCGAACACTAATAATGTCTTTTATTGTTTGTCTCAAAACAAAACAAACACCATTTCCTTCTTTGCTGCATTAGTTGTGATTAGTTACGATGATCTCTTTCAACTTTCTAGCTGTACATCTCCTTTTGCAACATGCTTTACAGAGATACCTGAAAATACAGTTCTACTGATGGATTAAGCTGTTGTGCCAAATCAGCTGGCTGCTTATAACTACTTAAATTGAGGATCATTTGTCACTGTAGCCTTCAACTGAAGGAAATTGCCATGTCATGCCCATGTCATGTAGTATTTATCTCCTGTTCTGTATGCAATAGTTCCTTCACTTGTTGAGCACTTCAAACCATGGTGTCGCTCTGATTTAATCATGTCCTGCATTACACAAAAGCAGGGCCATTGTTTCAGTTAACTAATTTGGACAAATCTACAAGGCTCTGCTTGTGTGTGTGCCTTTGGTACTCATGCTTAATCGCTTTGGGATACTAAAGCTATCAACCACTGAAACAACTTTTACAGTTTTGGTCTTCTGCTACTTGCTTGTTCTTTTTCAGATTATTTTCATGGTTGGCCGAGGGTATGCTTCTCCAGACCTCAGTAAATTGTACAAGAACTGCCCCAAAGCAATGAAGAGGCTTGTAGCAGATTGTTTGAAGAAAGTTAGAGAAGAACGACCTCTGTTTCCACAAGTAAGTGTGTTTTGTGCACAGAAGTTTCAGAGTATTTTATAAATAGCCATTAGCACACAAAACATTCTATGCAGATAAAATTTTTGGTTTATATAAAGTGCAGCCTGCTTCTTATTTTTATCTTTGTTCCTATGTGCATTTTTTCATAACCCAGCTCCCCTAGACAGTTTGTAATTCTGATTGTATGTAGTTCCTGTAAAGGTCACTAAAAAATATTATGCATGTAGCCTGAAGCAGTGTTAGACTAACACTAGAGCAATTTGCTTTCAACAGCTGACCCATTTTAGGGGTAAGAAAAAACCCCACCTTAACACAATAAAAATCAAACCTATCTTTGTATTTACATTTTGTTTTAGTGTAGGTTTGAGGGAAATGAGAGGCTATTCCTCCTTTCCTTCCCCACAACTATGAACAAGCAAACAGAATCCACTGGGGGGTGTAAATTCATGTAGCAATTTTTGGTATTTTTACAAAGGATACTTTACCTTTTCCTGGCGCTATGAGGATGATGAAGGTACTTTCTTATACTCATTAAATAGCTGGAGTTAAATATCAGCAGATTTTGGAAGAATAACTTCTTGCTGTTACAACCAAGTGTAACTTTTGTTGTTTAAAAAGCTCTTTCTAAATGTTGTTTTGTAAACAGACTGTTAGGCAGAAGATGCAATTCTTTCCCCGTTACTCTGTTGGAGAATTGCATAGATGCTTGTTAATGGATTGTAATGTCTGTGAGGTAATGAAAAGTATCTTCCCATCCTCTGAAACTTAGCGAGACTCCTTATAGCAATGAAACTGTATGGCAGAGTTTGATTATTCAAACTGGAGTATTCCTCGAGTGTTGTTTTCAGTGCCTCCACATAGTATATTGTTGCTCTTAAAGATACACTTAAAGCTGTAATAAATGAAGGTTTGAGACTTAAATAGAAAGAGTTGCTTGTCTAACAAGCTGCCTTTTAATTTTATGTGTTTCCCTCAGATACTGTCGTCCATTGAATTGTTGCAACATTCTTTACCCAAAATCAACCGGAGTGCTTCTGAACCATCTCTGCATCGTGCCGCCCACACAGAGGACATAAATTCATGCACATTAACGTCGACAAGACTACCCGTGTTTTAGGATCATGCTCCCCTTCCCTTGTTCTCTCCAGTGACGAGAAAGGAACAGAAGTAACAGAAGTTGTGCTTTTAATGCCTCAGTGTACAGGATCAGTGCCAGCAGGATTATCTGCGTCCCAGTTTTAAGAACAAGCTGCTAAGGATTTCTGCAGTTCTTATCCTGCAGGGACACAGCTCCACATTGCCTTTTTCTACAGTTTCTTTTACTGGGACAGTTAACAGACTATAAATCAAGAGATCTATTACTATTTTTTTAATAGATGCACTTGAGCCTTATTTTTCCCATACACAGAAGCGATGGATGTTTCTTTGGCAGTGTTTCTGGATTGATTTGAATCTGTTGATAAATTGGTATTTTTTACTGCAAGGATGGCTTGCCTCCACATTTGAGGAAAGATGATGCATTATGGTGCTCTTTGATTGCCCCATGCCATATGCCACTTCAAGTTGGGGGGAGTTTTGCCTGAAATGGGTATCTGCAAACAAGACTGAGGGAAGCGGAAAAAAACTTTCTGGAAATCAGCTCCTGCCTAAGAGCTTTCATCAAGCCAATGAAATAAGTTAAAATGCTAATTCAACACAAAATAGTTTTGCAATAGTTTTGCACATAGAAGAAAAACTCTTGCAAAAGAATGGAATATATTCTGAATTGTACTGCTCAGAGAAGGAAGCTAGCCAGTCTTGCTATGGTCATCTTCAGTAACTTAAGCAGCTTACTTTGGTACTATTGACTTGTTTCTTGCAGCCCAATGAGGTGGTAAGTGCAGAAAGACAGGCTTTTGTGGCTGAGAAAAGGCTAATTAACATATCCGTATACTTCTGCAAAATGAGCATAGTCTTCATCCCATCTGAAGCTGTCGTCCAAGAGATGCACTATCAAGAGGAAACTGAGCATATACAGTTTTTCTTGCTGATTTGGGTTTTAATTTTGTTTTTATTGCTCCTGAGAAAATGCATTTATTGTAAGCCAAGGTTCCTCTGATTATCTTATTTTAATAAAATAAATTAAATTTTAGGTTTAAGATTCAATGTCATCATTTAATGTAGTAATCCATAGTTCTGATATGTACATCTAGATGTGAAAACCTCAGAAAGTGACATTCTGAATAATATTTTAAAAGTTACTAGGATAGGTAATAGCAGTTCAAGTAAAAACACACTTGATATAACAACCTATAGGTTTCCAATCACTTCCATTATGAGATGGTTTTTATTCTACTGTAAAATAAACTTTCAGCAGCATCTGCTTCTCAAGATACCTACCCTGATGTGCTATCAAGCTATTTAACTGCATAATTTTTGCTCTGCATTTTATCTTCTGTGAACCTGTTGTTTACTTAAGTAGAAGTGAGAGTTTTGTCTTGGCTGAACTCCATAGATGAAAAAACTTAGGTGGTTTAATCTAAGAATTTATTTTTTTAAATAGCATTCTGTTTAAATATGTTTATTAGGGAAAGAATGGAAGCTTGGGATTTTGTGTCTGTGTGTGTACAGGTAAGTATGGGGCTCTGAACTGAATACATTGCTGAGATCTAGTGAGTGAAGAGACAAGATGTCTGTAACCACTGTTATCTCCATCTAAACAGCTGCCTAAAATCTGTCAGGCAAAATACTTCTGCTGTTAATTTTGACAGCTTACATGTGCAACTCTTAACTGTCTGTAATGTTCAAATAGCCATTTCAGCTTCGTATTTGCAGCAAGCAAGAAACCCACAATGTGAAAGGGCAAAGGAACTTGAAGTACATAAGCCAGATACATACTTTAAAAATAATATCTAGACTGTTTGTCCTCAGAATATCATATAACATTATAAGAAGTGTGGAATATTAATGCTTAGGTGATAATTGAGCATGATCATAAAGTTTGCTTGCTAAGAAGTAAATTGAGGGTTGAAGGAAACTGTTCTATATAGTTCTGCATGATTTTCAACAATATTCTCGGTATTCTAACTGTAACCCTCTCTAAAAGTCATTTATCTTTCATTTTACCTTCATTATAATAAGAACAAGAAGAAAAAAAAAAAGAGAAATGGTAAGCTGCTTTTACTTTAGCTCTGATTTCCAAGAAGAAACCATTAACTCCTGGTTTTTAAAACAGATCATGTGTCTCTTGAAAAATTAAAATATTTTTGATAAATAGGCTTATTTTGACCAGCACTTGATGTCAAATTAGGTGAAAGCTGCTAAGTGAAGAATTTAAAAAGTCTGAGTTTCTAAGTCTTACTGCTTTCAAATTAAAACTTCTGTTTATGTTGTCCCTAGGTAGCTTTGAGAAAGAAGTTATCTTTTTTATTTCAGACTACTGTTACCTGGTTTATGTCTTCTTGGGGCAAAGTAAATCAGGAATGTCTTGTTTAAGGTAAAGAACATCCTCTCCATTGACTTTTTTTGAGTATATTTTATTACTGAAAATATTTCGCTCTGGGGAAAAAAAAATAAATGTGCAAGACCAGCTAGAAACAAGCTTCTGTGGGGAGGCTAAGGGCTATCTAAGTATTTTGGGGTAGAAAGTATGCCTGGGCAAGTGCTCTTGAACACTGATCTTCAGAGTACTCCATCTCTTGTAGTGATACTTCATTTTCCTTCACCTTTGTAATTAGCAATGAAGATAAGGCCTGACATTGCAGTAAGCATTGTTAAAAATTAACTTTAGGGAGGAAATTAATTATGGAAAAGTTAAATTTCTTAAGTCAGAATAGAGAGCAATATTTGCATGTTCAATTTGAGGGAACTGTTGGCCAGCAGAGGTGGGAGGAGTTCTCCCTCTTCTGTTGGAACCCTTATAGAAAGGTAGTATTTCCATCCAGGATGTTTCTCAGCTTCAGTTTTGACTCAGAAATGCCAACCAACAGTTGAAGCGGATAATCCTGGAGTCACTAATTTGGTGCCATTTAAAAACATTTGAATCCCAGATCAAGGTTCTTGCTGTTTGTTTTATGACAGTGACCCAGATCCTAGTTTTTAGCCATCAAAACAGCACCCTATTTGCTGTGCTGATGTAAGGTTTTCTGCACAAGTATCTCTAAATATACTTTGCTTCACAATACAAGTAATTTCTGTTGTCTCAACAATCAAGCCTTCTAAAAAGCTCAAGTCTTCAAGCAGACAAGCAACCTTTCAAGGGTATGCAGTCTTACCCTCAAGCCAGGGGTTAAATTGACCCTCTACTTACTTGAAGATTGTCTGCTGAATGTGCTTGAGAAAACTCTGCTTGCACTCAAGTGTTTAATGCTGTATTACTCAGTAGCCATTTCAGTTGTGTCCAGACTGAATTTTTAGTTTCACTGCAAAATTAATACAAATGACTTAGCAGATTTAACTCCTTGTATCACATTTCACAATCAAATTGGAAATTGCTTTTGCAACACAAACGCAAATTAAATTTTTAACAAAAATAAAATTCAGTAACAATTCTGTTAGCTGAGAAATGTGCCTTACACCTCGCACCTCCTGGGCCTTTAACACTGCTGTCCTTAATCTGAAAAAGGCAAATGGGGACCTGGAGAGAGAGGCTTCCTGACAAAGAGGAGAAGGAGCCAGCTGCCAGTTCTGTCTGGGGCAGGACTGCCAGGGAGCACTCTGGAGACAGGCTCAGCAAAAGGCTGCACTGCAGCCACCTTAAATGTCACTTAAGTGGGCAATGTTTGACCCTACGCCTGTGCTTTTAGTAACGGTATCTGCCAGCTCATCTAGGGGTCGGAGCCACACAGAAAGGGGGCTGTTCTGAGACTGTATTACAGCTTCAGAAAGGTGTCTTTCACTATGCTAGAGGTACATGGAGATGGAAGGGCCTAAGTATCTATCAGCCACACAGTTCAGTTAAGAAAAGCAGCAGTTAAAACTGTTTCTTTTGTAACTCAAATTATTTATGTTGTATAGTTGCAAACTATAAGATCACTGACAAAAGGAGATCAGAAAATTACTTAGTTACTTCATTTAACTGACTGAAGGTTTACCTTCTGGTTAAATATATTTGAACTAATTAAATTGAACAAAAATGTAACTATTACGGTTGCAATGGCTATTGAAAGTAACTACTTGCTCTCATTATACAGTTTCCAAAATCCCATTTGTGCTGTAAGTTTAATTTAGCTGCAAGTTGTGACTCCAATGTTGCTCTGTCTGAATATATTAATCAGTACTCTTGTATTTGCTTTGTAACAGGTGCTCTGAGAGACATTTCCTGCCCCTGTACTCTTTAATGATTTTAAAACAAGGGTAGGAATGTAACTGGCACAGTCTCTCAGAGCCAGGCAGTGTCCAGGCCCCACTACTGAAACACTCACTGTAAGAATATGGTAAACTTTATTCTGAACTCTAGGTACTACTTTGAGGTATAATGTATTAGTTCTTAAATCTCCTTTTTAAGGAAGAAAAAGCTACACTGACCATTATTTATTCCCAGTGTTTTTTTGTAGATATACATTTAGTTGATTTAGTGGGGAAAAAAAAAAGCACCCAAAATAGATTTAGCAACAGTTTTTAACAGCTTAAGCTTTAAATGGTAAGAGAGGAGCTGTATTTACACTACCACTCAGCTCACAAGACAGCATATGTTAGGCCAAAGAGGGAGAAAACCCTCTGGGATTAAGGGATTTTTTTTCCATGCAATCAATGTAACATTTTAAATATATTTTAGTATTTTTGTTGCCATACAAAAACTATCTGAAAACTTTACCAGGACTGCACAAGTAAACCACAGGGCACATTCATTCTAACTGTGCTGTAGAAAGTAAAAGCATTGCTAAATAAATAGCTAGATTGCTATAAACGAAAGCACCTTTAGTTCTCTTTATTGAGAAGTAGCAGAATCTTCATCAGCCCCAGAAAGGTGCATGAAAAGTTCTCCAAGTTCTGTTACTTCATCATCTGTGCTGGTCACAGTCCTATTTTCTCTGTCTTCAATGAAGTCCCACAGACGAACAGAATTGAAGAACTGGAATAGAAGAAAATCTGACTGAGCATGAACCATTATTTGTCACAGTTCATCAAAACGTTTTCCCTTATCTTATTTCTTCATTAAAAAAAAAAGTCAGAAGTTCAGATTCAAAAGCTGGGTTTGTGCTAGGATTTACTAATACTCTTAGCAACATTTGCTGTTAAATTCAAAGTGACAACCACTCAGTGTTACAGTATGAATATAGTGAGGTCAAACTAGCCACTATTAACGAGCTGTATCTGCACTGAATGGGTAGGCCTGCCTGGACCATGCAGGGTGGTGGCTAAGCCATAACATGTTTCTGAGGCTTTAACCTTTTCAGCTGGTCTGAGTGCCAGCTATATGCAGGCAAGTGAGATGAGTTTTTAATACCGTAGGTGAAAGCTTTAATGGCAGAATTCCTTTGAGAAGGGTTGGTTGAAAAAATAAAATGGTAATAAATTGTTGCTATAAAATGAAAGATGCTTTCTCCTTTCCCTAATAACAAACCTTTGCCTCAAGGAAAATTGACGAGTGCTTTCTTCACCTCTCCAAGGCCCTGTGTGGTTTGAAACATATTTAAGTAATACACATTACATTCAAAACGTGGTTTTAATTGCACTTGACTGGAGTATTCCCTTACCCGCACAGTCCCCTCAGAGCTGAGCTGTTTCCTTGGTTTTTCAGGTTCAGCTCGTGTCCCATCTGGATAAGCATGAAGGTAAAGACACTTCCCTCCAAACGGGCAAGTTCCTTTCCCTTGTTCAAAGTACTTGCAGGGTTTCTTCCTGATTTAATTAGAAAGAGAGAGTTATTGCCTTCAGCTAGTAAGGAAGTAGATACAGTTCACTCTCCATGACTGCTGATCTCATCCTTAGCCAGTAATGCAAAGTACTGCTGTTAACACACCAAGAGTTTTGGTCTCCCCTTCCCTCATTGACAGCAGTCAGAGATTATTAAAAGCGAACAAAGACATGATAAAAGAACAGCATCACATGTCAAAAAAATTAAACTATCTTAAGACATGGAAATTGAAGGATGTTCAAAGAATGTCATCAATCCTACACAGATGCATTGTCATCATAATGAACAACGCTATTTTTCTAGCAACATTCCTCTCCTGTATTTTTTACCACTACATTTTTAGGAACCAGTTCCTCATCATCTCCTTTAGAAGTTCTATGACAATACTTTGTTAATTTAAGTTTCCATCAGCTTTATTGTTCAATCAAGCTGTTCTAGCTGTGTAGCAAGTTTTTGTAAAGGTGTTCCTTACAAAGGTAGGACAACAGTATTCAGGGTGGGTAGATTGTTCTGCGATGAAAAACAGCTGAAGAGGAAAGTACAGAGAAAATGCAATTGAACTTGTAAACTTAATATGCAAATAGTGATGAAACTGGTTCCCAAGACATAGATACAGTCTATCAAATACCAACTACATGGGGAAAAAAAGCTCAACAATAACACTGCCCCCCCACCCCCCAAACCTAGCAGTGCGTTAAAAGCAGAATGAATTTGTCTTGGTTTGGAACACAGGTGGTCTGTGACTTCCAGGTTTCTGGGTCTGACTTTTTTCATCCTCCACTGGCATATAAATCAGAATGGATTTGTGCTGGCATGACCCCTGCTCTTAGAGTCCACTTTATTGGCATTGTATTAGCATTTTTTCAACCCATGCAGTACAAAATCCTCAGGTTAAACTGACTGCCAAGAGATCTATCCATAGAATTTCTGTACCAAAGACTGTTAGCTACAACACAATGTATTAGTCTTAGCTAAGCACTTAAACAAAACCCCTCTTTGTATTCTCTTCTGTACAACAGGTTGACAAGAGCCAAACCCAACTTCCAACACGACCTGACACCTCTGTTCCAATAACACAAAAGCTTACCTCACTGAGAACGTGGCCGTTTAAAAACTGCACTAAGCTGAGGCTTTTGAGCACAACTTACTACCCTCACAATTCAAAGTCCTTATGAATTAAAATGAAGAACCAAAACAGCAATAGGGTATTGAAAACAAACTGTATCTGAAGAACCTCAGTTTAAAGTGATTAATTTTATTCAAATATTTTGCCTGACTATAAGATAAAACAAGACCAGATGCTGGATTAAACATTTAGTGGAGTAGTGCTGCTTTCAGCAATTCTTTTGCTGTGTTGTAACAGGACTTCAGAGACTTAAAGCTTCCCCAGCAGCTGAAAAGCTACTAGCAGCGGCTCTGCACAGATTTAAGTAAGGCCTATTTTTTTCTGTACTCCAAAGGGCATGTTTAAAGGTCAGTGCACATCACAGAGTAAAGCTGCACAACCTTCAACAAAATAGTCATCGCTCACTTGGGTCAAGCACAGCTCTGCTTGTTTACCTTAAAAAGAGTGAGCAAGGAGATAGATAAATAAAGATTACTGTTCTGCGAGCTACATAGCCCTTACACATTCCAGGCAAGCACAGCTTCGCAAAGCTGCTGTAAAACTACCCGTCAGCAGACCTCTCCCACTGCTCCAAGCAGCGGGCAAATCATTATTAGACAATAAAAGGAATGCAGTCATGTAGTATTTTCCATTTCCAGTAGACACTGCAAAAGCCCCATGAATTTTTATCCCATATTTCAAGAGACTAATACATTTTCCTTCCCTATTTGTTTTCCTCAGTAACCGACAATCTTCCAGGCAATCATGTCTAAGGGATCAACAGAAAACACGTGAAGCCAATTTTGGCAAGCAAACTGAAATAGCTTCAACATTTCAGAGCACAGTGAGTTTGAATAATTTCTGATCTATAATTACGTGACAGTCTCTTTCGTGGCAGTCACAAAGTTAAATAAAACCATTAACAGAGATTAAGAGTTCTCTGTAGAATGGTTTGTAATTATGTAAAGCTTAAAAACATGGGCACTTCAGTTGACTACATCTTAGTGTATCTATCTTAAGGACAATGTAAACAGTGTGTGTGGTTACTGAACTTACCCCACTCCTTGCTTAAATGCTTCAATCAGCTCATTTTTCTTCTCCTGGTCTTCTACCCAATATGCACTGGGAATGACAAACTCGGATATCACACGGCACTCTGGGCAAGACCTTAATGGATCAAGACAAAACAGCAATGCTCTTTTACTTTCCAAGAATGATACTCCTCAATAGATTTGCCAGAAACAGCAGTTTCCTGCGGGAAAGGGAAATGGTTTGTTGCACTTGAAGCAGCAGAGACCTCCTCACGCATTAGTACAGCACATGTGCACATTTGTTAGTTTTCAGTTGAAATAATACAGTTCAGCGCAGTCAGGGCTTGTGCTACCTTGCATTTGTTTCTAGACTTGAACAAAAGTAACAGCTATTTCCTCAATACGCAGGAGTAAACTGCATTTGCTACTCCCAATACGCAGAAATAAGTCGTAACTACTACATGAGTACTGCAGCTGCCATGCAGCAGAAAGCCAAACCAGTTGAAAAAAGACAAAGGAAGGTCTCTAAGCCTTTTGAAATGAGATCTGACTTCTACCAGCAGTGATCAGTTGTTCACTTAGTGGTTTTAGGAGATGGATTTCTACATGAGGAACTGAGACCAAGAATCAAATATGCAACTTCAGGTACCTCAACAAGCCTAGGAATGGCTTTATTACCTACCAGGACACCCCCCCACCAAGTCCCATAAAACACCTTGTCTCCCAGCAGGCGGTGCTTCTAGAACTAAGCCAAGTCCCTCCTTTGGATTAACTTTGCAACGACTGGTATGTTCACTGTTGTGGAGAAACGTAAAAAACATTTGAAGAATTTGTGTTAGTAGTTAATCCATACTCAAAACGGATTCCAGGGCGCTTTTTCTGAAAAAACAAACAACTTGCAGTCCCTGCTGTAGGCAGAATATCTCAGTACCTGTCCAACAGAAGCTTGACTCCAATACAGGTTATGTCCTAATGAGCTAATGTTCACTTCAATTACATTTATAATGAAACTTGTGCAGAAAAGTCTGTTTTGGCAGAAGACTGAAAATATTTCCCACCTTTTCCTCAGCATGCCTGTAACTTGAGAGAGTTTTCAAAGAGATGCTCAAAAAAGGAAATTGCCCTAATAGGATGTTTTAAATTCTCTCATCTGAGGAGAGGCATATTTGGAATACATTTTTACAGAGCTAGAAGATGAAGGCATTTACTCAGGTACAGATAAATGCATAAGTAGTGGGACACTTTGCTTGAGTAAGCTATAGAGAAAAATCCAGTAATTAAGCACACACTTAGGAAAAAAAGGAGTTCCTGTTTTGGCACACAGGTTTCTGTGAAGGGCACAGGTTAACAAGGTCTCGGCTGTTCCAGAGTCCACGCGTGTGCACTTTTCCCCACCGTCAATGCAATGAGAGAGGGCAAAGTTATAACGGGCCAAGGTCTTCCCATACAGGACGGCAGCATGTAAGTAAACTGTTACTAAAGGATACCCAATGCATCCTTCTGGTCTTGAAGGTAGTTCTCATAGCCACACTCCAACGTCCTGGAATTTGCCAGCACTTGGACCAGGATTTTCTGAGCTCAGATCTTATTAATGGGAATGGTAATATTTACAGCTACGGAATCCCTTGTCACCAATTTTATTTCAGTATCAAGTCAAAGCACACCAGAGAGCCCATCTCACTGACACAGGCCACAGAGAAGAGACTCTGGTTAACATCAACTTACTTTATGATTGGATTCTCAAACTGCTTGGCACATCTCCACTGCCGGATGCAAGACAAGCAGTAGGTGTGATTGCAGTTGGAAAGGATCCCAAACCTCCTCTCAGAGGCCGACGGTTTCTCGTACACCACTTCCATGCAGATACTGCACACTTTGTCCTGACTTGCCTGAAAGGCAAAGGCCTTCTCCATGTCGTGCTCAAATGTCGCCATGCACATCTGTCATGGGAGAGATGTCATCGGTTATTGCAATCCATGTATCGGCCTGTTCCTTGTAAAACAAAAGTGTCTATGAAAGGGACCTATTACAGGAAAAACAAGATACACTGATTAAGAGCATCATGCCTACCTTTCATTGTCATAATTTAATTTTAAGAACTTTAAAATCAATCACGTATTTCACCCCTTCAGCGTTCTCTGCAGCTTCAGGAGTATCAGAAGTAAGGCTGCCCAAACACTCTTCATTTACGCCTTTCTATATCTCTGTCGTGGAACAGGTATTGCACAAGGAGGTGCTTCAAATACCCCTAGAAACCATCTAATTCAGGGTCCAGAACAGGTCCCACACTCAGGATGTTACTCTGCTTATCATTGAGGCCACACTCATTCACCAGATACTAAGCTTTACCCTAGCTAAGTAATTAGTCTCTTATTACAGGCTTTCCTACAGCACCTCTCATCACAGTATCCCAGTAGTGACCATCAATAACCAATTCACACTCTCACAGCACTACAAGGTGAGCTGGTGGTTATACCTGGATAGTTTTACCTCTTACTTTTCAAAGTTCTCAGGACACGACAAGTAAAATAAATTTAAAAGACTCTAAATTATAATAATAATAAAGCACACAAAACAATTCCACCTTAGTAGCAGCATTTTGACCAGTGCACCTTCTCATCCAGCACATACCTCTGTTTCTGGAGGCGAGCGCCTGACAGCAGCGCTGACAGGACACTGTGCCAGCTATCAACAAGCTCCCAGGAGAAGTGCGTTTTGCACCAGTGCGTTTTGCAAGTATATGCTGACTGCACAAAACCTGAGGTTTTTAACCCCTTGGATTCTACTCCAGGCTCTGGAGAGTCTTCCGATTCAGTAACCACTAACACTGCTGGTCCTTCTCTTCCTCAGCCTTGAGAACTCCTGATCGTGACCAGCCCTGACCTAAATCTGGTAGCCAGGCAGAGAAAAGAGCAGCCCTTTAAGCCCATCTTTAGCCAACCAATTCCTCACCCGGTCCCTCCAGCTGTCTTACTTCAAGTTCAGCTCCAAAATCCTTGTGCTCTGTTCAGTCTGACCCTACTTGACCCTGCCCTGAAATCAGCCACAACTAAGAGGAGACATCGAAGAGGTGACTCAGCAGACAGGCAGGGTGATCTCCCCGAACGCACCAGCAGCCCCCAACTCCTCTCCCCCACTACACATAATGTATCACTGAGACATTGTGTAAGCTACCAAGGACATTTTCCTTGTAGAGTTGTAGGGTGTTCTGGGAGAAGGCTGCAGGCAAGTTTCCAATAAGGATGAAATGGGAAAAAAAGAAATTGTTGTAAAAGGCTATCTGCATCATCGTTACCAATTAAGGCCGAGATGCTTGAGCAGACCACTCTTAGAATCATTTTATAGCTAGATAAACAATAAAACAAAAGCTCTTTGGAACAACAGGCTCTTCTACATAACACATCTTTGGATTTTAGAGCAAACAAACCAAATCCCGCACTAAGCAAAGCAAATCTCACATGGATTTCATGTTAATACTACCATTTCATGAGCCTTCCTCTGTTCTTGGTCGTAAGGGTGAAGTACTTGCAATCCACATATCTCACACACGTCTCCATGGAGGTAAAGGCAGCGATCTCCGAAGTGGCACGCTCCCGCTGCAGCATAGGGACACAGCTGCTCTCCAACAGCACAGGAGCTTCCAGCTACCGGATCTTCCAGTCCGCTGCAAATAGCTTCCAAATACGAATGGGGCTTCACTTCCAGATTATCATTTTGGTCACTACAACACACCACATCGCTTGCGGTGCTGGGTTTCTGCTTTTCTTCATTCAAGCCACACAGATCTTAGGAAATGGAAACATAGTATGAACCATACAAGGCATGCACAAAACCCACACAAGAAGTTCCATGTACCTTCTTTCCAGTGATTACCAGTTTGGTTGTTTTTTTTTTTAGAAAAAGTTTTCTTCTCAATGAAATCTCATCTCTAAGCTCCTTTTGCTCACAAATCATAAGAATTTTCACAAACTACCTACTGAAAAGTTTGATTTTAAGATTTCTTCAGCTGTTTTCTGTTTACAAATAGGCTAAAAAATCCTCTCATTTCACATTAGGGCAACTGGCCCATTCAGTGCGACAGCAAGGGAAGGTGGGAACAGCATGCAGGCGGCAGGGGGGCTCGGCTCCTCTGCCCTGCCTGTCAGGTGTGGATGGATGTCTCCTTGCTTGTGTTCCTACAGGCTGGCACAATCCTCCACAAAGCACACGCCAGGTACCCCGGCACAAAGCAGCCAGGTTTCTCACCATGTCAAATGCCCTTATGCTGAGAACAAAATGCACAAGAAGATTTGAGGGGCAGAGAGATTTTAACCAAAAAATCCACTTCAAAAGAAAAAAAAACACCCCCCAAAACCAAAACCTTCCTTCAGAGAACACCAGGCTAAAAGCCAGTCAGCTAGACAAGGTCACTAGAAGGTACTGACAGGCACAAATTCTTCCAGGAAAGAGGCCTCATCGGGTAGGAAGCCTGACCGCACCTCTCCAGCTCTCCAAGAAACTCAAGTAATAAAAGGAGAAAAACTACCTAACTCCTATCAAGCATCACAGAGGATGAGCACAGCAGCACTCCCACTCACTTCTGTCCCTGAGCACTAGCGTTTTCTTCTCCCGTTTGCCAGTCTCATGCAGTTTGCTCCTGATTATCGGCGCGCTGTGCTCGGGAGGATGGCGAGGGTTGTGCAGCGCTGCTGATGAGAGGGGAGGCGGCGCAGGGGCCGCTGCGCCCCCCGACGCAGGAAGTCTGGTGTGATCATACCTGCGAAAGGAAAAACACAGAACAAGTGTTACGAAGGCTAAACTTGGCACAGTGGCAGGACACTGCCCTGATGAATATTTAAACAAAATAAAACCGAACAGCTACTTTTTTTTTTTTTTTTAAAAGGATTGTTCTGACAAGTTGACTGAACTGCTCGGTTCCTTTCAAAGCCAGACTAAAAGGCTTCTCAGTCTCAAAAAATGGATGCTGCTGAAAGCACACCTATATTTTCTTCTCCAGAGACACCCAGCCTAGCTGAAAGAACATTATTCATGTGCATATTAAATTAGATCTTCGTCATTGCCTCACACAAACAGGTTTGCTGGCATTTCTCAGAGAAGCAACATCAAAACGCTGTGCAGGAAGGAGTGACATTTCGTGATCTCAGTTTCCCCCTGCAAGCAGCCACACTCAGACTTTGTGCTCCCACAGCACAGCAGAAGATGTAGTATTTGCACACGGGATAGGAAAGGACTCAAAACATCCAGTAAAGCTGTGGAAATATACTCCAGCAGCAGAGCAGAAGCAATCACTGCAGTAAAGAGGCTGGGCCAGTAAAGCCAGGGACATACCTGAACACTAGAGTATTTCTGATGGGAACAAAATATTCTCCGTATCTGTTTCTGGTCCCATACTTAGGACCTGTACGTGCCCACAGACATGCCATACCTGTGAATCGCTCATGTGCGTCAAGTGCCCCAAACTCCAGCAAAACAGCTGGAGTAAAACAGCAACACGCTTTACAGCCATCGTTACGGTCCGGTCAGCGTATGATGTGGTCCCCATGAATAACACGGCCATCAGCAACATTACACGTTACCAGTTCAATGTGAGCAGCTAAGGCAAGCTGCAGAAATCACTGATGTTCAATCTCCTAAAGCAAGTTTGGTACCATGAACTAAGTGAAGGAAAGGAAATATAGCTAAGCCATTGCGATCACAGCAATGCTGTGAAATCCCCTGCTGCTGTTGGGTGAAGGCACCTCTGGCACATCCCTGGTGGAATGTAATGACATTAACTAATGCGTAGTGTTTACTAGAGCATTTCTCAAGGAGTTTTAACCAGAAGAGTTCAGGAAAAGGCGTGGTACCGTTCAGCTTTCCCACCAAACCTAGGGGAGCACGAGAAAAACACTTTGCTCCAAGACAGAGCTGAAAGTCCCTGAGATTGTGTATTAGAATCTGCACGAAGGAGGCTACAAGCTACAACAGGAGAACTGAGTGAAGCACTGCTGAAACACTGCCTGCTTCCTGCCGCTTCAGTAACACGGAAAGCAAACCGTGCCGCCAAATGCTATTTCATGTGAAGTTGCAGGCTTTGCTTTTTGCATTTCATAGGTCTCAGTATAGTAAGAACCAGATGAAAAACATTTGTGAAACCTGAAGTTTAATTTCCACAGAGTAAAATAATTGCTGAAGCCAAGACAGAGTAAAGCTATAATATTGGATGCACAAGCTGATTTTGGTACTGGGAGAAAAAGCTCACATTTAACATACTATTTGATTCCCTTTGTCATCTCGTCTTGATCTGTGATTCCCTGGGGTTTACCGCTGACCGCACGCGATTATTACGCCCAGCTCTTCTGAGCTCGCTGTTCCAAAACGAGTCAGGTCTTTACCTGCACCGAGCTCCGTAGGCACACTGTCCCTTCTGGTAGTACTTGCAGATCGTAGAGGATTTGCTTGTAGACAAGTCGTGAGAGAACAGGCACTTGCTGCCCTCCCGACACACTCCTTGCACGTAGTACCTGGGGGAGAAGCAGTTCTGGTCAGAGAAGCCCGTTGGGGCAAGAAAGACGAGCGTAAGGACGGGCGTAGGGGCCAGAGGGAGCTCCGAAACCGGTTCCGCGCACCCCCGGCCCCGCTTCTCCCTCAGCGCGGAGATCCCCCGGCGAGG